TAAACACACTAAATTAAAACTCCATTTATTGGAACAAAGACATTTAAAAATATCTTATTCATTTGGATATGGAGATGAAGATGGTATTTTTTTCAGGATACTAGATTTAATGGTGTAAACCAAATTAACAATTATATAGGAATTATGCATCAATTTTAGAATTTATAAATGAAAGTTCTTGAAGGTAAAATTGGGAGAATGCATAAATTATTAGAATAAAGTTAGTTAAGCTAACAGAAAATGTTCTAAACATGAAAAACATACAAGATTGTTAAAAAAATCATTTACCCAAAAGCTTGAGTGGCCTAACATGTGAGGATTGAATGGGAGAGAAAAAGAATTTTGAATTTTAGGTTGATGAACACTTATAGTATGTGTAGAACGTGGAAAATAAGTGAATGAGATAAGAAACATCTACTTGAAAGAAAAAGGAAATCCTTAGTCCCCTTAGACTAAGCTCGGCCAAGAGCCAAATGGAGGGAAAAAAGAAAAATTATCGTGTGTTATGTATTTACATGCATGAACCATTTATAATAGAAAACTCATTTAGAAAACATCGATGAATCTTGGATAGATTCGTCACTCTCATTCTAGGGGATATTCAGGTCTTAGAACAACACAATTTAGGAAGCATTTCTCATAAAAATTGTAACTTGAGATGTTAGCTTTTCAATGAATCCAACCTCGCTTGATTTGGAGATTTAGAGCTTTAGATATAGGTAAATATATAAAGGAAGGTTAAACTGCCCTCCTTGCTAGCAGAGTCAGTGAGAATTGATAAAATGGGGAATGTTATATGGGATAAGGGTAAAAACTAGTTTCCTTCACATTAAAATTTTCGTAACATCAAATCTTGACATCGGGAAGGGGTAAACTACATTTAAAAATGAAATTGATGATGTGCATAATGATTTAAAACAATGAAATATAAAAGAGTAAATGTTGTTGTTGTTGCCTTTGCAAAATAAAAATTGGACATGAATTAATATAATTTACTTATGAATTCAAGAAGAACCGCGAGGGAAGATAACAACAACAAAGGAGCGCAAATCGATTATCACTGGCAAGTAGGTGTTTCATAACTATACTCTCTTTAGTTAAAAGTGAAACTAGTATTCTATTTTAGTTTAGAATTTCACACTTGTGAATAAAGTTAAATAAAGTAAAGATACGATGAAACATACATGGATTGAAATTTGATTTTAGTTGTGGATTTGTGGACTTTGATTTTGAATAATGAACTATAATGATGAATTCAAAACAACCATCTTTAAACTTGATTAGTCAATCTCATATATGGGCGGCTAATGATGTGAGCAAGTTTTGGTAACATCAGCATATCTTGATAGAAATATAATGAATGTTGAACTTGATTAGCTATTCGGGTTAGGAATAGTTAATGATATCGACAAACATTGTCGATATTGACAAATCCAGGATAATTTGATGAGCTTCCCACGAAGAAAGCTAATGATGTCAAAAGATCTTAGCATCGGTGTTATTGGAAAAATCTCCAAGGCGAGGCAGAAAAGAATTAATTAACTATTTGGGGTTGAAAATAGTTAATAACATCAATCAGTAAATCGATGCTAACATTACTAAGAATTTGATTAGTCAGTCCTAGTAAAGATAACTAATGACACTAATAGAAATTATTAGTATCAACAATAACCTCCTTAAATTTATGATAGGATGGTAAGATGGATGTACCTAACGAAGAATAATGAATAATAATCATAAAAAGAAAAATCATAAGTAGGTTACGGAATGATAAGCTTTAGATATAGTAAAGAAAAATTTTAGGTGTGGATTTCCAAAACAACTATAATTGTGTACTATCGAGTAGTTAATTACATATGTATATATATGTATTTATGACTCTACCTCATCTCTACTATATTTTTACTTTTAATATAAGTATTTTCATATTTTGATATTGTAGGTCCTTCATATTTACGCTAAGAGTAGTGTCTTAGGTTTCTAATTCTTTTTATATGAATCAAGGAATTCATGTTTCTAATTCCTTTTGTATGAGTTAGGAAATTATTGTTTCTAGTTCCTTTTGTATGAATTAAAAATTAAAAAATATCAATGTATTTTGCTTTATACATGACTCGAATTATATTAGTATCTATTTATATTAATCATAAATATTCAAGATCCTTATTATTCTATGTTTATAATATTAATATTGTTTATTCATGTTTGAGTACAATTTTGTATGTGTTCACGAATGAGAATGAAAAATGAATATGTGAGCTACCATGCTTGTGACTAATAATGATTATGGTTGCGATGCATGATAAATATGTTATGATTATGGAATAAGCATAAAATGTGTATAAGATAAATTGTCAATAATTTAGGATTTTCTTGATATAGAGAAAACTTTGTCAAAATTTTAATAAACCTTAAATATCTTGGCCAAAAAAATTACTCATAAATTTCAATAGTATAATTACTTTTTTGATCCCGAAAATAAAAATGTTATAGCTTGTATTTTTTTCTATTTATTTAAGTTTTTTTTCTTCAATTTTATTATTTAACATTTATTTATTTTTTAGATTTAGTCCCTAATTCTTTTATAAATCTTTAATTTAGTTCTATATTTAATCCAATTAGGAGTAAAGGGGAAAAAAAGATAATTTATCCAGCACCTATTTTTTTTCATTTATTAAAACGTATGATAGTCGATTAATTTGATATAATACATTAATTAAGTTTTTTACCACTATTTCATATGCTGGAAGAAAAAAAAACAAAACTCACTTTTTTTAATGCAATAATTAGCTTGTGATCCAGCACGCAATGGATATCAAAATAAGGCCTAATCACAATCTAAAAGGGTTTTGTTAGCTACATTATAAACAAAAAGCAAAAGAAATAATTAATAAGAAAGTGTTTTTTTTTTACTAGTGATAGGTTTGGTAGAAAAATGTGTTTTTTTTTTTTTACTAGTGATAGGATAAAAACATTTAGTGATTTGAATAAATAGATTATAAATATAAGAACATCTAATTTTTTTCATCCTCGTTCCACTGTTTTTATTATTAAAATAAAAAGGTTTTCATATAAAAATACGGTAATGCTCATTAAAAACCTATAAATACTTAGTTTTTCATTGTATATCAAAACTAAAATTATTGTGGATTAAAATACTGAAATGATCATTGTATCCTTTAAAGAAAAATTATTAAGCCTTCTATTAGTAGTAGAACAATCTTTACTTTATTGTTTAAAAGACTTTTCTTGAATGTATAAGGATAAAGAGGTTTTTTTTTATATTTTATTAGCATAGTAAAATAACTTAATCATTCTTAAAAGATATATATTTTTTTAAATTTAGCTTTAGGAGATTTTTTATATTTTCATTTTTTAAAAAACAATAAAATAACCCATTTACTCTTAAAGAAAAAAAAACTAGTCTTAAAAGGTTTTTATGTCTTTTCATCATTTTTTTGTTGTTGTAATAAACAAGCTGATTGAGATTTACTCTTAAATATAAATATTAGTTTTTTAAAGGTGGTTGACATGGTTCAATCAAGTTATTTAGACGACATGTAAGGGCTGATTCGGAGGCCAAACAATTAATTTTATACCAATATTTAAATTGTCTCAGTGACATCTCTATTTCAAAACAATATTTATAGTTAACGAACCATAAAATTAATGTCAATGATCTTTTTTCTTCTGCTTCTTTCTCTTTTCCTATTGATTTTCATGTTCATCCTTGTAATTTCTCAAATAATTCTTCAATTTTTTTCATTCAAATCTTACCCTTATTATTTTAATTACTATTGATTTTATTTAAAATAGTTTATGAAATTGAATTTATTTTGTAATTTCATTCTTCTTCAATTTTTTTATCTATCATATTTAGTCCTTATTATCTTGATTGTTATTTATTGGTTTTCTATCCTTATCTTGATTTATTTTATTTCTCAATTTTATCCTTCATTATTTTATTTAATTTAATTTTTATACCATGTTTGGTCTAATCTCTCATTACTTTATCTCATTTAATTTATATCAAATTTAATATTTATTTATTTATTTCATTTTTTATCCTTTTTAGATTTATTTCATTTTTTAATTTCATATCTTATTTTTTAATTTAATCATAATTATTTTGATTGCTATCTATTTTATTTTTTAAATCTAGATGACTGGAAATTGTACTTTGTGATTTTTTTAGGTTTGCATTTTATAGGGTAACCCGATCTCATGACTAGATCATGAGTTTTGAAAATTAACATGATTTGACTTCAGTTCTTTTTAGATTTTTTTTTTATAAAAAATATTTTTTTTTTATTTTTATCATTCAATATGAGGTTATTGAGCCTTTAACTTCGTGGTTTTTTTTATTTTTTTTCTATAGAATTATCCCGATCTCATATTTTAAGTTATGAGTTCATCAAGTTAACTCATGTTTTTTTTTTGTTTTTTTTTAGTTTCGTATTTCATTGTTTTATTCAATATTTTTTATATAAAATTGTTTTAATCTCACAAGACAGCAAATTCAATATACTGACTTGAGTCATATATTTATATCCTCTTTTAAAATTTATTTTTTAATCCATCATTTAACATTTAATTTATGAGTAATTAATATCTTTTTTATTTTTTTTATAAGGCTACTCCATTCTTATTTAATTTTTATTTTTTTATCAAATAATATTATTAAGATCTTTTAGATTATTTAGAAAATATTTTTTCATAATATTGAAATGAATTTTTTTTTATAATTATATTATTAAATTAATTAGATTTATTGAACTCATTTGAAACAATTATTCTGAACCCCTATTTTTTTAACCCCCTTTAAAATCACTGTTATCATTTTGAACATTTTATTTTATTTAGAAAAAAATTTAACCTAGTTAAAGCTAGCTAGCTTGAAGCGGTCCAGTAAATACTGAGAAAAAACAGTAAAACAAAAACAAAAGAAAGAGGTTCGAGGCTTAGCCCAATTGGTTATTACACCAGCCCAAATAAGTTGGGATATACGGGGCTATAAATACATGTTCTCTCCTTGATCACAGCCACCCTAAACCCTAAGTTCGCAGGCGGCAGTCAACCATCATGGTGCACGTCTCCTTCTATCGTAACTGTAAGCTACCGATCTACCTTTCTTTTAATTTTCAGTCTAGTTACTTAATTTTATGAGGTGTTTCTGTTGAGTTTTAACTTATTTTAGCTTATTTTTCTATCTTGTTCTGTTTGCAAATTATGAAGTGAATGAAAGACGGAAAATTTGATGCGTGTTGTTTTACCGAGAGTTTAGAAATTTAGCTTCCAATTTTCTGTACCCAATAGTGCTCATCATTTGGGCTCTGCATGTTGATGTTGGTTTGATGAGTTGAATAATAATAGTGAACTTGGTGTTCTTTGTTTTTCTATAGACGGGAAAACTTTTAAGAAACCTAGGCGTCCCTATGAGAAGGAACGTTTGGATGCTGAGCTGAAACTCGTAGGAGAGTATGGGCTCCGTGCCAAGAGGGAACTCTGGAGGGTCCAGTATGCATTGAGCCGCATTCGTAATGCTGCCAGAATGCTTCTAACCCTTGATGAGAAGAACTCACGCCGTATCTTTGAGGGTGAGGCGCTTTTGAGGAGGATGAATAGGTATGGGCTTTTGGAGGAGAGCCAGAACAAGCTGGATTACGTGTTGGCTCTTACGGTGGAAAACTTTCTTGAGCGCCGCCTCCAGACACTTGTTTTCAAGGCTGGTATGGCTAAGTCGATCCACCATGCCCGAGTTCTCATTAAACAGAGGCACATTAGGTATGTATATCTAATTCTAATTCTTATGTTGATGGAGCTGATGCATTTGGGTTAAATAATCAATGCAATGGTGTACATCTCCTATTTTTTGAACAGTAGTTTCCTTTCATCTTCTTGTTTTTCTGGTTATAAAGGTTTGGACTTCTTTTCTTCGGAGTCCTCATCCATGCTGAGGTCCTGTGATTTCAGAGATTGAGATTTGCTTGTCAAAACTTTCAATTTATATATATAAACTATTTTGACCTGATCTGCCTTCACATTTTGTGTTTTGGCATCCTACATTTGGATTCGGGATTTTTTCCATTGATATTTCCCTTGGTCCTGCAGGGTTGGGAGGCAGGTGGTCAATATTCCATCTTTCATGGTGAGGGTGGACTCGCAGAAGCACATTGATTTCTCTCTCACAAGTCCCTTCGGTGGTGGACGCCCTGGTAGAGTGAAGCGAAAGAACCAGAAGTCTGCAGCCAAGAAAGCATCTGGTGGAGATGGAGATGAAGAAGATGAAGAATGAGCTGTATGAGCTGTCATGTTCTTTGACAGTGAATTTCTGGTTTATCTTACAAAGTTTGTTTAAGACTTTCAATCTCTTTGGTATCCTAAGATAAAAGAGGTTTATGCGCGGATCTTTGAGTTATTAGGGTTTTACCATTTTGAGATTATCTGTCATTGTCTTTGTCTTTGGAATTTATTGTTTTCTTGATAATCTAGCTAGCCCTTGTTATACGCTTGGACTAAGTTTGTAGTATTTTATCTTCCCTTGTGTTTGGAAGTTGAAAATTCGAATGTTGGTGGAGATCTCACTCCAGCTTACAAAAAAGCTTCACATTTGAAGATGGGGAATGCATCAACATGATCAGAACACTGGAATGATACAGGTTGACTTGTAATTGCGTGATCTTTATTTTCTTTTTTAAAGAAAAATCAGTTTCACCAGGCAGCAGGAGGATTCCTGCTCCAGATCAATGGGGAATCAATGTGTCTGAATCATGCCTGGAAATCTCCGAATAACGTCTTTGATCATAAACAACCGTCTTCTGTCTTAATCCTGCCTTTCCGATCTCTTGCAGGCGGGGACACCCAAAACTAGGACAACAATCTAATACAGTTCTTGGAAGAAATCACCGCAAACCAAAAAATATGATTGATTTGCATCATAATGTAAAAATAATTTGGAGAATTGAAGATCTCAGTGGAAGAGAGGATCTAAAGTAGAAGACATAGATTAACATTTTTTGTGTTTCGCTCCTGTTGTTCTTCACTAGGCTTCAAATTTGTACAAGAAACAAAAATTTGCTTGTACACCACCAGAATAGCAGAACTTCCCAAACTCTATGGTTTTTACAAAGCAAGAGCTGGGCCCATCAGTCCTAGGAACGAAGAAAAAGGTGAACAGGTGCTCACTTTTTGATACTCTCATTATGAGGAACATGCTTCGAGTTTTGGAAGAAGACTTCTCCAAGCATCTGCAATGCTATTTGCCAAGCGTACCTGTCCTTTTGCAAATTCATGGAAAGCAATCCCCATATCCAATGTTTTCTGTTCTTGAAAGCGCGCTATCTCTTCGTTCATCAGTCTCACAATTGTCTCAAACCTGCTTGTCGCTTCCTCACTCTCTGCTTTCAACTGCATGAAAACCAACTTTTAGTCAGATAACCAAGTGTTTGTTTGAAAGTCGTAGATTTTCAAAGTGTTTTTTCTTTTAAAAATACATCAATATATATATATATATATATATTTTAATTTTTTTAAATTTATTTTTGAGATTACCACATCAAATCGTTAAAAAAACATGGTTTAATTTAAAGCAAAAAAAATATTCAAAATTTTTCAAAAACACAGTTCAATGGAAATCCCAAACACCCCTAAGATTTCTAAGGTGCACATATGCTACTAGTAAGATAACTTGCCTCCCTGTATTCATGCTCCGCTTCTCCCACTTTATCAGAACGTGTTAGCATAAGTTTGTCTCTGCAGTAATAGATATAAATTAGAAACTCCAAATATCATCTGGCTATCAGCAAAAACTGACCACCTAGGAAAAAGGGGAAAAACTAAACAATAAATGACCGCTTCAGTGATGCATCAAGCTTCAGGATTTCTGACCCTTTCTTGAGCGTTCCCAGTGGAGGAAATTTGACTACCATGGCAAGTCATAAATGTGAAAAAAATGTAACTACTCACTATATCCACATTGTATTAGATGCTAAAAGGCCATCTTTACAGCACTATCTAAATGCAGCCTTGTTGCCGACTGAAATATGATAACAGAAACTTATGAGTATGGAACCTAATCAAATACTTTCATTGCTCCTTCTTTGCTAGACAACACTTGTATTTACGAACTTAATTCAAGTAGCATCAGAGAAATCGTAGCTTGAGTCATTACAAATAAAGAATTATCAGAGTATATTAATAGGAATCGAGAGAAAAGGCAAGGTTCTGTCTCTAGCAATGTTTGTGATCATTCCACATGGTACCATTGAAATCACAGATAAAATAAAGTTACAAAGAACAAGGAAAGGAGTAACCAGGACATACAGATTTATCTCTTTCAACTTCATTGTTTCAGCCAGTTCACACTGATGCCTAAAGGCATTGGCCCGCTCGGTGATGGTAGCCTGTCAGAATACCAGGATAGCAGATCAGCTTCTAAGACAAGTCTACACACACAAAAACAAAAAAAGGAGGATACAAAAATAGAAAAAAGGTGGGGAGAGAGAGGTGAGCCAAACTTGCCTTAATAGATTGAACAGCACGAACATAATCTTTCAATGGTTCTTCAAAATTCATTAAAAGTTGATGTGCCTGGAAATTTATAGAACAATGTCAAGGATTTAAAAAGAAGCTTTTTAACTCTATCAAAAGCCCATGAACACACACACAGAGCATTGCTGAATCTGGAAATGAAAGGCATGAATTGACTAAAAGCCTACCTCCTTCTGTAGCTTAACTGATAGTGCCTCTGATTTAGTTCCAAGGTCAGAAAATGCCTTTCCTAGGATATCTCCTTCACAAGCACCAAGGAGCTTTGCTGCCTTCCCGAAATCCAATAGAGATTGCCCTAATTCTGACAAAATATATGGACAATCAAGCTGTAAGAAATGACTGCATCATAATGACTAAAAGAGGTGAAACATGAAAGAGACGAGTCATGGGTTAACATGTAACAATAACATAAACCACTGTTACCTCTATGTCGCTTTACAAGACGATACGCATGCTTCTGAGCTTCAGCCAAGTGGTTTTCAAGCTCAAAGATGTAATGTTTCAGCTTTTCATATTCAGGATTCGATTCTTCAACAGGTTTTTCCTTACCAAGAACGACATCACTCACTTTAGATTGCACGTCCTGCAAAACATTAGGACCATGATTGCCAAACTGACAGTGTGCTTGTTTGAATGGTGTATACTGTAAATTTCAGTGCACAAGAGTAGTTGACTACTTTCTCATGTGCTAAACTTCACCAACATGTAGTGAAAACGATTTTTAAAACTATAGAGTTGGATCTGAGGAGACCTGAAACCAGTCATCTAAAAATATACACTAACCCAACCCGAAAATTGTACAGTGGAAGTGGTAAAAAACTATCTTAAAACATCCACACAACAGAAGCAAAGCATCCAATGAACTAAGAAGTGATCATCCAACTTCAGTGATATGCTTTCGAACAAGATGGATCTAATGTCTGATTAATTTGGTAATTAACATATTATATAAGAGAAATCATAATAGGGAAACAAGTGTTCAGATGTTGCGTGACATTGTTCAAGCACTAGAAAATTAGTGCTGAATCTCACGGGTCGATCAGCAAAAGAAGACTTAACTCATCATACCTTGAAAATTTGCATAAAATCAGCAGGTTTCCTCTTCTATATTATATAAGAGAATTCATAACAGGGAAACAAGTGTTCAGATGTTTCAAGAACTAGAAAATCAGTGCTGAATCTCACAGGTCGATCAGCAATAGAAGACATGCTAACTCATCATACCTTGAAAATTTGCATAAAATCAGCAGGTTTCTTCTTAAATATACCAGTCTCTTGAGACCTTAATCTCTCCATTGCCTGAAAAATAGGTAACAAAATAATATTATATTAAAAACTCGCAGTTGTACTCTATAGATATCTAACATGCAAGAAAGAACAGGAATCACAAAAATTTATCATCAACAACATACAGGTTAATTTTTAAATGACAAGCCGGAACTAACATTATATGAATCAATGGAGCTGCTACATCCTTTTTTTATAACCCAGAAAGGAATTCAACGTCAAATCATGTAAGTAGTTGCTTAAGAATAAGTTTTTATCAATTGTCTATAAATAAACCATTTCTCCATGTAAAAAAGGGAAAAGAAAAAACTCATGATAAAACAGATAGCTTGCTAGCATTGCAACTCTTCAGATGATTTGTGTGAAAATGGTACATGTGCAACGGTGTTTGCTTCTGGTAGAGTGATAAATTTGGGAATGATACAGGAGAAAAAAGATGATCATCAGATATGCAGTCTCAGCCACATGACTCCTGATGAAAGCCTTTAACCTGCCAGTGCCATTCACTGTGCTTTCTGAAAAGTTACTAGGGAGACATATTCAAGTGAAAAGGTGTGGCAACTAAACCATATTCCATTTTACCCATGTTTTTTGTCCTATCGTTTCATCCCTTTTTCCCTAAGCATATCTCAAAACATTTTATCAATTAGGAAGAATATTTACCCCGGCAAAAGGATCCACTCCACGGGAAATGAGAAATTGAATGATTTATGACATTCACTGCATGCTTGCTGCCACATTATAGATAACTTAGGAGCATACATGTTCATTCCTTTATAAGAAGTAACTCAGTTATTTCACAATATTGGATGAATTATTGATCCTTAGGTTAACAAGAAAGCTAGGGAAAGATAATATAGAAACAAATAATAATTTCAATTGAGTATATCCATAAACTCTCAGAATCAGCACCAGGAGAATGCTAATGGCTAAACAGTACATTATAGAATCTCACCCACCTCTTCATCTGCCTGCAAAAAGGTCCTTAAATCCTCACTTTGCTGAAGCTCTTGATGTGAAGCTATCCTATTAACAAATATGTCCAGCCCTTGTCTCCTCATCTCAATAAATTCAGCACTAAACCGAAACTTCTCTGCATCACCAGCGTCAAATAAATTTCACATTATTATCCTCTGATTATTTATATATTTATCTTTTATCTTTTTTGCAAATTAACGAAAATTGATCAATTCCTTACCGACAGCACTCTTTTCTGGAAGAGGAGGAATAAAAACACCCTTGAACTTGTCGAAAAGTCGATCACGCAACCAAACAAAATCGCGGTAACGCCGAATCACAATCTTCTCGTGCCCTTGGTATTCCGGTAAATTAGTCTACACGCCAAAACAATTTAATTATAAACCCTAGGACCTCCATCAATTTAAACAAGTAGACGAATACCTTACCTTGGTGATAACGCGATAAGAGATGTAAGCCTGAACGCCATTCCCTAATTTTACAGGATCTGTCACCGAAACCGATAGATAAGGCTGCGATGACGGAGATCTAGGGCTTGGACTCCCCGATTGCTGTTGATCCATTTTATTAATCTCAACAAACAAATAAACAACCACACAAAAAAATGAGATGCAATTAATAAACTGTGAGAGTATTTGTAAATTGATTGAGCTACAGAGAAGACGATAAGGGAAGTGGCAGATTTCGTAATTTACCGTGGAAAACATGGCCCTTAGTTAATTATATTTATTTGAAGAAGCTGGGGGTTAGTTAAGAGAATTGAACACGGCGCGCTTTTTTATGAGCCGAACAGAAGCAGTTTTGTTTATTGATGACGCTTAAAATGCGCAGGGGTGCGTACCCAGCTGGAGGATCCCGCCGGCTAGAGAGAGGCGTCAAAAATGAGAGGGGCACCTTACAGGCTTACACCCAGGCTGAGTGGTTTGAGCCGTTGTTTTGTCACTTTTTTATTTTAAATTATTATTTTTTATATTTTAAATTATTTTGATACACTCAAATATAAATTTTTTAAAATAAAAAATATTATCTTTATATATTTTTAAATAAAAAACACTATAAAATCCATCTTTTACGGTTTTGCCACACTTTCATGCATTCGTAAGACGCAGTGCGATAATTAGAAGCTGAGTCGTGTTGGGTGGTGCAAGGCGACACCGTTTCCACTTGCCGAAGGGACTTTTTTTTTTGGTCAACGAGGGTCGCGTGGCGTGTAGATTTGTGCTTTCATGCGGGCCCAGCTAACGAGACGTGTATTCTACATTATTAATTGAGGTCTAAATTATAATTCAGTCCTTTTATTATTGTATAATTATTAAATCAGTTTGCAAACTCGTTGATTTTATAAATTTACCACTTCTACATTTTATCAATGTCTATTAATTCGGATTAAGATACCTTTTAAGTTACCACTTTTTATAATTTAACACCATGACAAACCATAATCAACGTGTGTGTGTGTATGCTAACTCTTGTCTTCCTATTTTATTTTTGGTTTTTTTATATGCATACCTTTATTTCCATGCTATATAATAGAGCTTTAGAAAAAGAATTTAGATTTGTAAATGCTATATCAACAAATTTCCATCCCTCTAATTGCAATTATTTCTTAATCACTTGCATATGATAGGACTTATTGATTTTTTTTAAAAAAAAAGTGAATTATCATGGTATAAAAGATAAATTTTTGGATGCTTAAAATATAATTAATGACATCTTATTAGTTATATTATAATTTTATTAAAATGTATTTAATGTCATTAATTCATGTTAACAACTCCAAAAATCCTAATTTCTTGTTCGTTTTCTTTTTATATCTTTCTTCAATTTCTTTTTTTTTAATTCTTAATTCTTAAAAAATCACGGTTGATGGAACCACCATTTTCATTCAAAAAACTAAAAAAATGCGACCCAAGGTTTCATCTCTCTTTGCCAACCAAACCTCTCAGTGTTTCAATTCTCAATAATAAATCCTCTCTATTTAAATTCAAATAAGTCATTCTTGATCACTATAATCTTTGATTCTCTAATTAGTCTCTCCTTGCTTTCAAAATCAAAATTAAGAATATCCTCTTGCTGTATTTTTATGTTTTTCTCTCTCTCTTTATCTTATTCATCTAAGATTGTGCTTAATTTGATTGTTGGGAAAAACCAACAATTTATTTTTAATCTTGCAGAATCCAGTTGAATTTGAAATTGATTTAGCAGGCTAATGTTTTTTTTAGTGTAATAATTTTCTATTATTATAGGATTAAAGCAATAATATACCTAAGCCGTGCGAATTAGGTGTAATAGCAGTTAAAAAAAATTCTATTAATTCAAATAAATACAATTAATCAACAATATAATTAAATTATGTAAAGTAAAAAGTTAAGGGATAAAAAATATAAACTTATTTTTAATATGGTTTGACAAGTCTCCATCCATATCTTAAATATCAAAATGTATTTGAGTATTATATTCTTTCACTGGTCTAAACTCAAAGAATATAATAGCCACTTGATCAATCCACGCTAATATTTTTATACCACATGAAGATATTTCCTCTTCAAGATTTTTTTTTGATGAAATTTCCTCATTAAAATCAAGAGTTTTATCCTAACTCTTAAAGGATTACAATAATGATTTTGCTCACAACAAAACTCTCTCAAAATAGTAAATAATACAATTTCAACTTTAGTATTTTTATAACTCATATAATAACACCTAAGATATTTGAAAGTATTTTAAGTGTAGTGAATATGATAATAAATAATTTAGTGCTAGAATATAAAGATTCAATTTAAAACAATTGTAGAATATGATAGGATTGATAATTTTTTGTTGATTTCTTTCCTAAAATTAACTAAAAGACTAAAATGCATGAGGGATTCACAATGCAAAATGCATTATGGATACGAAATGGACATACTGCTATTTTAGTTTTAATATTATGTTTGGAATAACAAAAAAAAATCGAAATGAAACTTAAATGTTTTAATACTTTATTTTTAAAATTAAAAGGAATAATGATTATGAAAATTAACTTGATCAATGGTTTTGGTAATATAAATAATAAAAATGATGATAATGATAATAAAAGTAATGATAAAGAATAAGGAGGAGAAGAAAATGGTGGGATGGTGATAATATTATATAACTAACAAAATATATTAAAAAAACCAATGCCACCACCATTAAAGATGGTGGTGATATAAGAAAAGGTGGCGAGGATAATGAAAAACTGGTGGTAGAAGAGTCGTGACACTACAACTATATATATATAGCAATTATTCACTTAATTAAGGTATGCACCCTTTCAATAAGAAGACAGCCTTAAAGATGACAAATTCTGCTCGATAATTCAAATCAATAGAATAATGTATTTGAAAACACTTATGACCCAAATAATAATTTTATAACTTGGAATTTAAAAACAAAATGATTCGATGAAACAACCAAACTTCTTTAATAAATCAATCTTCCATGTGTATTTGTTTTTCATATTATGAATGCATTATATATTATGGAGGTTATTAAATCAATAATTGCTATGAAATAAATGTTTTATGTATGATTACTCTATTAAAAAAATGGTTCAAATTATGGTTGGCCCTTGCTATGTTGTCTTGTGATGCACTATGAGATTAAATACATCAAATTGTTTGGTAATGAAGTGATGTGCTGTAATATTAATAAAATCATTTAGATTATAATTACCATTAAGTGCTTTATTTAAATTAAATAATTTTTCAATAAATTAAATATTTTTTAAGAAACCAAATGAATTGCTTGAGAAGTGAATTTATTGCTTCAAAAACGCATAAATATTAGAAATAAATAAATAAGAAAAAAATTACTAAAAAAAATCATATATCTTTTTTTTGTAAATAGAACTATTAATTAATATAACTAGGATCCATACAAGTTAAGATCTAATATGCTTAAAATAAAATTGTTGAGGTTAGTTAATTTTAAATTATAAAAAATTATTAACTATATAATTAAATACTAGTTAGTTAATATGTTTAAAAAAAAATGATTAAATTTATTTAATTATAAAATAATGAAATTTTTTTATATTTTAAATAAAATAAAATTCACTTCATTTAAAAAAAATATTCCTTTTCATACATAATATAATTTTAAAGTATTTTTTATAAGAATAAATTAATTTTTAAATATTTAACCAAATATTTGTTTTATATACTTTTTTTTTTAAACAAAACAATAGAATCTAAAAAAGGACTCAAAAACACTCTCAAATAGATAAAATCAGAACAAAGAAATAGATACAATCCTTTCGTTTTCCTTCCTAAAATCAACGTGGTGTCCAATTATTGGGCAGAACTGAAGTTGTTAAAAAGCCAAAAAAGAATGGACTCAGTACATGTGGATGAGAATAGGTTAGTTACTATTTTGCCTTTTAAAAAAACATGTTTGCATAGCTTATAAGGGTACAATTATAATTGCACAGGATCAATCCATTATCATTATTATTATTATTTTGATTAAGGTTTAGGATTTTTTTTCTATTTTTTAATTGTGTAATGTAATAACTAGAATGCCCTTGAAATACAAAAAAAATGTTTTGGATTTGGTTTTTTTGTTTTTAAAAAACACATTAAATTTACTTTGTTGTCTCTTGGAACAAATAAATCTTACCTTAGAGTTTAAGGGTTTATTTGTATTTTCCTTTTGGGTTTTTATGATTATTGGATTACAACAGAGATATATTTGTTTTTTGTATTAAAAATAAACTGTAAATTTACTTGGTTATCCCTTTAGTTAAAACAATTTAAACTATACTTACCATTAAGTAAATTATTTAAATTAAACAATTTTTCAATAAATTATTTTTTAAATATATTTGGTTACCTCTTTAATTAAAAATTTTAAACTATGATCTAATAGCTTATTTGTCTATTCATTTTGGTATTTTTGTAGTTATGAGTTCAAAATAAGGGTAATTTGATATTTTTAAAAAATAATATTTGAAAAAAAAGAGTCACTTAGCTCATTATTTTCATGCGCCAATATATTAAGCCACTCTTCATTTTTTAAATATCGCATGTGAAGGATCTGGGTGGTGGGAATTGCTCATTTATAGTGACGTTAAAAAAATCATAACATTCTTTTCCAAATGAGATGACATGTTTGGTATTATAAGAGTGATTTTGGCTTGGATTATTGCTCATTTATAGTGACGTTAAAAAAATCACAACATTCTTTTCTGATATGACATGTTTGGTATTATAAGAGTGGTTTTGGCTTGGATGATTTTTTTTTGTCTCTTTAATTTTCTTGGAAAATGAGCTATCTAGTAAAAAAAATCAAAAAAATCAATGTTGTCTTTTTATTTTTTATTGATTTTGATTCAGTCCTCTTGTTTTTTATTATATGATTTTTTTTTATTTCTTCTTTAAATTTTAAATATCTTTTCAATTTCACTTTCGATAGAAATGCTACTTTTTTATTTTTTTTATTTTTAAGTTTTTTTTATATATATGTATTTCTTTTGTCAAATGTTTGAATTTTTTTTAATTTTACCCTTGAATAAATTACTATTATTTCTCCTATTACTATATTTTTTTAGCATTTGATTTTCATTCTTTTATATCACTATTTTGTGGGGTCTTTTATCAAATTTAATTTCTTCTTGATTTCATCGTCTAACATTAAAATATTATTTTCCCTCTTATTTTGTTTTGATTTTAGATTTGATCTTTTGTTTTTTGGGTTTTTTGTTTTGAGTTATTTTGTTTTGATTTTAGATTTGATCTTTTTTTTTTGAGTTTTTTGTTTTGAGTTTTTTTTGTGAAATGTTTGATTTTTTGTTTTTAATTTTACCCTTAAATCAATGAATGTCATTTACCTTCTTAGTTTTTTGTT